ACATTTGCAAGCACCACTTATTTACAGAACAATATATGGTATAATATTCTCAATAAATAATAGAGTTAGTGCCGTAAGCATTTTACTTCTTACCATTTCCTTATTTTTGGTAAAAAATCAAATAAATAGATTGTAGAAATAAAAATTTTAATTATTTCTCGCCTTTCGTTGACTGACTGTGTCAAACATTTTAAATTACTCAAGCTTTCTTGTCTACCTCTTATTTAATTATAGTCTATTACCAAGGAACTTCTGTCAAACATGACTTTCGTCTCTGCACAGGGTGGACGACTCATTGAGCCAACGCGATCTTTTAGGCTCTCTTTTTGCGTCCAAATCGAAAACCGCTGACCATCCCGCGATGTGAGTACTCTATGCCGTATCTGTGGTTTACACAGCACGTATGTCTACATATATTTACACACATAAATACACACGTATTTATGTGTGTAAAGCACTCCTCCCCCTGGACGTCAACAAGTCAAGTGGGCCTGATGGAGTCTGTCCTATTGTGCTGAAGACGTGTAGTCCGGTGTTGGCACCGGTTTTAACGCGTCTTTTCCAGTACTCCTACTCCTACAGAACTCATGGAAGACAGCTTTAATGCACCCAATCCCTTCAAACCCGTCCCGTCCCTTCCCTTCAGACTCGTCCAAGTACAGGTCTATCGTATATCTACCTACCTATACCTCCTTAGTCTCCAAAATAATGGAATCCACTTCAAACTGCCAGTTCATGAGGTACCTTGAGCATCACCAGCTGATTATAGTGACCGCCGACACGATTTCCGTCGGGGTCGCGCAGCTAATGATCGTCTTATTTACTCGACTCATCGTGGCCTTGGCCGTTACTTTGGACATAGCAAAGGCCTTGGATGGGGTTTGGCACAAAGCGCTTCTTTATAAAATTTCCCCTATGTGCTTCCCGAGAAATTGTGCAATTGGATAACGTTTTTTACAGATGGGAACATTAAGGTCGCAGTAGTCGGTGTATGTTCCGACTAAAATAGATTAGAATAGAATAGAATAGAATATTTTTTATTCAATATACATTACATGTGTAATTCTTATTGAAAGTCATTTTTTACTTTACCACTGGTTCGAAAAAAACCCTCTGTCCTGGGAAGAACCAGCAAGAAACCCAGCGGGACTTTTTTTTAAATAAATTTTACAATATAAATGATTACGAACTATTTACAAAATTTATTTTAGAAACTGCTTGGAAGCGATCACCTCATTCCCAGGGGTTATTATCAACCATGTATTCATTTATACTATAATAACCCTTTTTATACAGTTTCAGCTTAATAAAACATTTAAACTTGGTAATAGAGAGAACCTGTACACTTTCCGGGACCTTGTTGTAATAGCGTATAAATTGCCCCAAGAATGAATTACTGACTCTGTGGAGTCGTGAAACTGGTATCACTAGCTTGTGTTTGTTCCTAGTGTTTACAGAATGTATATCACTTCTTTTACTAAAACTATCTTTGTTTTTGTGAACATACATTAAATTTTCGTAAATATACTGAGAGGCCAAAGTTAATATATTAATTTCTTTAAATTTATCTCTAAGAGACTCTCTCGGTTTTAGATTGTAAATAGCTCTAATGGCCCTCTTCTGTAAAACAAAAATAGTTTCTGAATCAGCCGTATTTCCCCATAGCAAAATCCCATAAGACATTATGCTATGAAAATAACTAAAATAAACTAATCTAGCTGTCTCGACACTAGTGAGACCTCTAATCTTTTTTACAGCATAGGCTGCAGAACTTAGTCTGCTTGCTAATTTGGATATATGGGGGCCCCACTGGAGCTTTGCGTCAAGAGTGATGCCAAGAAAAACAGTGGATACAACAGGGCTCAATTCCTCCCCATTTAAAAACACATTGGTATTCAGATTTTGAACATTCGTTGTTGTAAATTTAACACAATTAGTTTTATTTCCGTTCAAATGCAGATTATTAACGTTAAACCAATGCACTAATTTTGATATAGCATTATTCACTTCGTCACATTTAAATGATTGACGTTTAAGTTTAAAAATCAAGGAAGTATCATCAGCAAATAATACTATATCATGACTATCCCCTACAAGGTGAGGTAAGTCATTAATATACACCAGAAACAGGAATGGGCCGAGAATCGAGCCCTGAGGTACACCCATTAGTACAGGTGACCCGGAAGAACTTTTACCATTGATAATAACCTGCTGTTTTCTATTACTTAAATATGAAATAATAAGTTTAAGCGCTGTGTTCTTGACACTATAGTACTGTAGCTTCCTGATTAATGTCTCATGGTGAACACAGTCGAAGGCCTTGGAAAGGTCACAAAATATACTCAAAGCATCCTCTGAATTCTCCCATGCACAAAAATATGTTTAATAAGCTCAACTCCAGCGTCAGTTGTCGAGCGACCCCTTGTAAAACCGAATTGATTATTATGTAGCAATTTATTAATATTAAAGAAATTTAACATCTGATCTAAAATAATTTTTTCAAAAATTTTACTTAATGTTGGTAGTACAGAAATTGGTCTAAAATTGGCGGGGTCTAATGTACTGCCAGATTTAAATATAGGTATGACTTTACTATGTTTCATTAAATCAGGAAACACACCAGATTCGACGCTTATATTAAATATAGTGGCTAGATAAGGTGCTAATGTATCTATTATAGATAAAATAACTTTAACGGAAATCCCCCATAAGTCTGCCGTTTTCTTAACATCAATAGTTTTAAAATATTTAACGATATCTTTTGGCAGTACCCTATGGAATTTAAAAGTATTTGAACAAGCCTTTACATTTTGTTTGAGCAATGATTCGGCGACAGTAGGAGAAGAATTTAATGATTTTGTTGTCAAAAAAGGAACATCAGTAAAATGTTCCTCAAAAGCCATAGCAACTTCTTGATCAGATCGCGTTAAATTATTGTTAATATTCAATTTAAAATCCGAGTTGCGCGGTTTGACCTTGCCCGTTTCACTATTTATTATTCTCCAGGTCATTTTAATTTTGTCGGATGCAGTTTTAATTTTGTTGCTTAAATGTAAAGCCTTAGCAGTGGAGCACACTTTTTTAAATATTTTAGAATATAATAAATAATAAATAATAATATTCCACAACTATCAAACAACGCCATCTAGTCCCAAGCTAAGCAGAGCTTGTGTTATGGGTACTAGACAACTGATAAACATACTTATATATTTCTAAATACATAAATATTATAGATAAATTACACCCAGACACAGAACAAATGATCGTGCTCATCACACAAACATTTGTCCTGGGTGGGAATCGAACCCACGACCTCCGGCGTAGCAGTCAGGATCACTAACCACTAGACCAACAGGCCAGTCAGTAGAATATGTTTTTACTAAAATAATAATCTCTAAATATAACACTACTATTATATGATCTTTCATCATAAAGCTCGTATAACCTTCGCCTACTTTTATAAATTCCTACTGTCGCCCATTCACTAAATGATTTGCGACTGTTAAAAGAAAGACGACTGTATGGTAAGTTACTCATTGAAATGGTAAGTTACTTCATCTAAGTAACTTACCATTTCACAACATGGACGTATAAAAAAAGGCGAACAGAATTTTGTTAAGAAAGAACTGATGCACTGTAATTGCGGCGGTGCAAGTATGTTTGCGTGTAATAAAGGGTTGTCATGTGAAACGAAATTTCCCCATTTTTTTATAAAACAATCTATCAAAATATAACATAACTTTGGGGATTGAACTGGACTAGATTTAGTCGGCCTCAATCCGGGACTTTGTTAAGCAAAGACTCGACTTCAGACACAAGTTTGTCCCGGTACTCAGTGACGTTTTCCCAAGAAATATTAGCACGGCCGGTATATAATATATATAGATAGTTGACACGATATAAATTATTATTACGTACCTAATATACAATAATAAATAAACACAAATGACGAATAAAAATTCTATGAATGAAAGATTTCGATTGAAATCGAATAATTCTATTTAACAACAAACTATGTATTCCTCTTTACTTCACAGAATTATATGGTAGCTCCTTTACAGTTCAGGCTACACGTCTTTCTGCACGTAGCGGTAAACCTGTACAAACTATCAGTTGAAACTACCTACCCAGCAGTGGTGCTCGATCTCGACGCAAGTGCGTTAATAATTTTAATGTTTGTTTCCTTGAAGAAAAGGAATTTAATGATACCGCGAAAAGTGGTGAAAAACATGGTCACTGCAAAGAAAACAATGAAGTTGCGTCAACTTATAAAAATAATAAAAAATTGGATGGATGAAAAGACGTATCTCAAACTGTTATAAGCGGTGGCTCCCTTCATTCAAAAGCAGGATACAGTAATTAGAAAGGCTATATATATCTCCTCATGAAAAGCAAAAAGTGACGTTAAGATACCTTGCAAAAGGGAGAACATACGAATGTCTCAAATATTCTGCTATGCCACAACTGACGCTTGCGCAGGCGACTGCCACACGCTCAGATTTTCTTTCACAGTTAAACTGCACAAGTATGTACGGACAAAAATATCATAACTCATATTATATTTTCGGGTTGCCTGTACAAGTGTAGAAACCTTCACACTTATGCAACATACCCACTTCGGTTTAGGTTTACCTGTACAGTATCATGTCCAACCTAGCGTGTATGGCTACCATTTTTTTAAACTGGCGATGCTATTTACACTGCTAATATTCCCTGTAACCACTCATGTGTTCAGTGTTCGCGTAAATATAAGAAATCATCATCACTCATGGTAAGTTTCAAATGCTTGTGTTTGGAGTGTCAGTAAGAGTTCAGAGTTCACGACTATAGTTGTATGACGAATTCGAACTCACGACCTTTAAAGTTCGCGGTCCGCACCCTGCCATTAGGTTACTGATGTTTCATTAGTTATTTCAGTTATCATTCAATCATCTGTTTTTGGCTTCTCTGAAAATGAGGGTATTGCAAAAAGGTGAAAAAAAAGAACACTATTTAATTTTAGTAAAATTTATTGCACGCACAGTTGTTTCTTCAATATTTATTAAAATATGATAGCTGAAATTCTGAATGGGTAACAATATTACATATAGTACATAATGTAGTTTGTAATGCAGCAATATTAGATATAGTACATAATATAGCTTGTAATACAGTTTATTACAGTTTTAAAGCTAATTTACTTACATTGTGTATAACGAACTTTCACCTTGCGGTTACAGTTGCGTCGAAGAGTAGCCTTCTATATCACATAGTACTACTACATTCTGTTTTTCTGCCAACTTCAAAAAGGAAACTGTACTCAATTCGACTATGTTTTCTTATGTGTGTTACCTCATATCTTTTTACTGGGTGAACCGATTTCGATGATTATTTTTTTATTTTAAAGCTGGTACTTCTCGTGTGGTCCCATATGTGAATTTGATCAAGGTCAGACCAATAGTTTTTGAGTTATTCTTAATAATTTATATTGAAGTCGGCTGTATAAAATTTAAATTTTTTAATTATTAACATTATTTTGCAAATTTAAAATGAGATGGTTTATTCTCAAATCAGCACTGCATACATTTTAAGTGACGCAAAAAATAAGCCACAACTGTGCTCAACTTATATTAACACGCAATCATTTATATGCATATTATAAAATGATTTGCAAACAACATGGTTTTAGGTTATGTGCGTCCGGGAGTGTTATTTTATAGGTTAATAAAGAAAGAAAGAAGGATGTATGTGTCAAGAAATCGAGCAAGGTTTCGGCATCACCTAAATAGTATGCAGCGCTACCTTTCTCTGTTAGTCGGAGGGTTTATTTTAACATTTTCAAGTTTTGTTTTTGTTTTCTAACAAACATTTCTTTTAATTGAAACTCTGACAAACATTTCTTTTAATTGAAAAATTTGGGTATTCAAAATTTTTTGAACAAAACAGAAAAATCAATATAATACCAACGGAAGACAGCAATGGTATAATATAAAGCGCAATAGTAGTCGAATGCCAAACTTTTTAGACCACTTAATATAAAATCATAAAAAATTGGTACATCAAAAAATATGCACAGTTTTCGTTAATAAATTGTTTTATTATGAGATTATACCTGTTTAGCTTAGTGTATATAATCTTTTACTATAAGGCCCGTATTACATTAAGGTACCATATTACATTTTTTTTATAAACTGGCTTTACGGCTCTGGGTTCTAGCCCTTCTGAGCCATACCATATTACATAATGAGGTGCAAACACAAAGTAAACATGACTAGATTGCAATAACTGTCATCATACTTAAACCATGTCAGAATATTTCTTATGTGAGCATAAAAGAAAATAAAGAAATCAACAAAATGAAAAGTTTCCTTCCCTAAAACATTAATTCTTAGAATATCCTTTCAAAAACTTACTTTGTAATAAAAATAGTGCTAAAGCCTGTTGTTACGTTGTCGCTTGAGACATGATCATTTTCTGGAACAAAGAGAGCATTTATTTTAATATTCAAGTCAAACACTAAAAAGATATTCAGGTAATTGTTATTTATTTCCTCTAAACATATTACAATAATGACTCATTATCATAATATGCTAATTATATTAATGGCACAAAATCATCACAGTATGGGATTACTGCTATAATGAATAGCAAATTTAAGTATTTGTTTGTAATGTCAAAATAACAGCTTTGTACAAGAAAATGTACTTACAACAAAAAAAAAAACAATTTTTAAAATGTTTTTCTGTCAGTTTCTTTATTCCGGCTAATCTTTGAAATGGCTAGACCGTTTTTGACAAAACTCTCACTGGCAGGTAGCTGATATTATAAGGAGTAACTTAGTCCACTATTATTTAAAAAATTTTATTTATTTAAATTATTTTATATTTTTAGGTAACGTTATAGATATAGCAGGTAGAAACTTACATAGAATTTGTTTTGTAGAATATTACAACCATACGGTATTTTGTAAAGATGGAAGTATTATCTCTCAGTACCTAGTTCATTAGTATTTATGTATATATTTTTGAGATTTGGATAAACACTTGTACTAGTTTAACAATATCTATTTTAAATTATTATTATACAAATTATAAAAAGAAAGCTGTAACTTAACCACATGACAACAATCGCAAGTACAAATTAAATATGTATGTACATACATACTTTATAAAATATATATTTTTATATATACATTTATATTTTATATTATACTAGCTGTGCCCGCAACATCGTTCGCATAGAATTATTTTTGGTAATTCATTATACCTACTTCCCTATTTAAAAATTAAACCCATTAAGGGGTTTTAATTTTATTTGCGCGAAATTTTTAAATAAAAGTAGCTTAAACTATTCCTTATAACATCAGCTATCTACCAGTGAAAGGCCCGTCAAAATCGATCCAACCGTTTCGTAAATTAGCCGGAACAAATGGACAGAAATACACACAAAATTAAAAAAAAATGTTTTTTGATTAAATGTAACGTAAATACTTTCATATGCATTTAGCAGAAAGCTGTTATTTTGACATTATAAACAGACTAATTTTATTTATTTGTGGAGATATCTATGCACAATCTTACAATTATAAGCTTTCGCTGTCGCACGGATGGGTCGGCTCGAACCGGGGTGGTACCACGACCTCACACAATACCAGCGTGAAGTAGAAGATTACTTCTGCGTTTCAGCCACCACTGTGCGATACGGAAGAAGTTTTCTTCCTCGCACAACTTCCTTAAGCTATTTTTCTGAACCGATACGACTTAGGGACCTTCAAAAGCCTACTCTTTTTTAAAAGGCCGGCCGCCACGCATCTGCAATTCCCCTGGTGTTGCAGTTGTTTATGGGCGGCGGTAGTCACTTACCATCAGGTGAGTAGCATGCTCGTTTGTCACCTCTTCTGAATATATATTAAATATTTTATTTAATATAACTATAAGAATATTGGCATAATATGTATTATTTTGATTTCTATTTATATTCTTTAATTTATATTATTAATATCTACACCTACTTCATTTTATCTGCATCATCCAAAGGTTGAAATTCACCTGTAGAAAATGCCTCAGGCATTAAGTGCGGCTATAAATCATTATATGAATTAAGATTAAAAAAAAGAAGACAAATTAAATTTTCAAAAGTGCTATTTTGACTCTTCTGCCATTCTTAATTCCTTAAAACGGAGAAACCTTATTTTTAATATCTTATACAATTATTAAATAAAATATTTATTTCTTTAGAATAAGAGTGACTAACGAGCACACAGTCCACCTGATAGTGAGTGGATGCTGGAGCCCATAGACATGAAACACGGCAACATTAACCTTCTATTTTAAACTGGTATTGTATGAGAACGTAGTCCTCCCCGGTAGAGCCGATCCATTCGTGCTACAACCATAATATAGCTGCAGCGTGGCTCTAGTATGTATTACATTATAATTAATTTCAAGTTTTTTAACTTAATCTTATTTTGATATCATGTATCTGTATGTATCATATATATCATTATATTCGTTTCTCAAAATTAGTTGTGAGAAAATCTATGTTAAACTTACTTTGACCGGATACAGTGCATTGGTTAGTTGTAAACCCACACTCCTCGCTAAGACCAACGGAGCTATGTCCAGACTATAAAGGCGGTACAAAGCGTCGATGGCCAACTGTGTGGGCACATTGTGCCTCTGTCGAGAACTCTCATATTTTTCTAACCAGGTATGGTGCGCTGTAAACACATAGAAATATCCACAATAACTAAGAGATTCTGACATTTTAATCTGTGGATTACCAATGAAAAACATCGTATTACAACATGCCAAATTTGTAGACTCCACACAACCATAGATAAGAGTGCTCAGAATAATCCTTTTTTAATAGTTATTTATAAGAATTATACAACTAAAATTCTAAAAATTTTATTATAATTAGGCTCGTTACTAAATTACGGGAATTAAGATTATACGAGAAATAAATTGACAGAATTTACTTCAAATCACGCCTTTCCGCCATTATGCTACTTTATACTTTTAGAACTACGTCGGCTTCGCAGGTTAATGTAGTACTTCACAGACCGTGTAGATGGCGATGTTCAGAATTATTTGATTTATAAAATTTATTTTAAAAGATTTCTACCTTAAAAATACCAATTTATTTGAAAACCTCTAAAATAGAGTTTCACCTATTGATTTTAAACTCCTATGTTATTTTTTACTACTGAAATAAATCTGTAACAGCACTATCTGCACGGTCAGGCAAGTACAACATCGATCTACGAAGTCGACGTAGTTTATTCGACGTAGTTATATAGTTCCAGGTTCATTATGGAACCTGGAACTTTCACGGAAGCCTCCATAAATTAATGAGGCCATCCGCGATTTTTTATGCCACCAGGGCAAGCAACTTAAAAAAATAGATATTAAGAAGGTACCTAAGTTTTTGACAGAATACGAATAAAGTTTATTCCATGTCGTCTTTGCAGTTGAACTTATTTAGGCGCGACCTGAGTGTGGCTCTAGATCTTTATCGGATGCAAGTGTCTATGGTCCATCTGCACATTTCCATATTTATGAAACTCGACTGAATATGGCACGGAATATAAAAACAAGAGGAAGCAAAAAGTGGGCGGAGCAGGCGAGTCAGAATTAGTGACAGCAGAGCGTAAATGACTGTCAGTCGCAGGCTCAAATTGTTGCAAGCTGACGGATCGCTGAGTAAGTGATATATGCGAAAATATGCCATTTTGGACAATATTAGTGTATAAACGAAAGTAAAAAGAAAAATAGTTTGAATGGAGGTCTTTCATACCAAAGGCACGTGTAAATTTTTTCTTTTTTGGAGATACTTGACTACATCATAATAATCTTATACTGAATATCGATATAAGCCAGATCACTTTCAGGGAGAGTAACTACATCACTAACATCATTTACGTAGCAGTATAGGTTAGGTAGGGCAATGTCAACGTTATATCTATTGTCATTATATCTATAACAGTGTGAATTTATTATTGCGACAACTAACGTTAAGAAGTTAAATTTGCTCATTAATTCTAGAAAATTCGTCAGTGAAAAGTAATATGATCTCTATTTTTAAGAAAATATGGTTCGTACTAAAGTGAATGGTGAGTAACATAATGCCTTTCTCTTTAATTTTTTAATAGCCAATCACGCAAAAATTATTGAAATGGTACACAATTGCCGGTACACATTTCTTTCTTGCGTATGTATGAGTTTGGCGACAGTGGTTCTGTTACAAATTATGCGCTTTGCTACTTCCTCTTGTTTTTTATATTCCGTAGAATATGGTATTTCTTGAGTATATGATTCTAGGTAGATTAAAGCGCTTCGATTTATTTTGAATTAACTCCGGCCGTTTTACAGTGTAAACATAGAACTTTTAATATATCGAACACAGGTACTTTTTTGACACTAAACGAACATAATATACTGTGAATAAGCGCAGAGGTGGATTAAATGTCGACAACACCCTAAGCTAGCAGCTCTTCAGCGTTCCTATGGCGGCCATTTTTATTAATTATTACTACTTATTTTGTAAATAAATTAAATTATTATTATTTATAATATAGTTTAGTTGCAAAATAACTGCGACGCGTAACACGTGATGAGAGAGTGAGGGCCTCAGAGTACACATAAGCAAGTACGGTAAGGGCGATGTAGATGTAGGAGTAATCAAGTAGACGGGGCGCGCTTTGGTAGCTCTAAATCTCTGAAGAAAGTATATATATTATTATTTATACCGTTATTTTGCAATAACAGGCCAAATTTGCAGAGAAGGTTCAGAATAAGTAATATAGGCAAATAGTGAAGAAAAGTTAATTTAAAAAAATTTCAAACATTCTGTCCTTTTTATCTTTTAAATTCTAAATGCGTGGTAATACATTATTTTAACTGATTTTACTGCGCACGCACACATTCGTAAGGGTCAATCGGTAGGCAAAATCGTGGTTGCCCATAAATCACATTCAATTTCAATAATTCATATTTTCAAAAACTGGAATAACGGTATATCATTATTAATATATTTAAACTTAAGTTTAAAATTTGGCTATTCTTTGAAAAATAACTCTGTATATATTTTTCGTTAAACTACTTCTGCGTGCGCGCCCTTATATAATCTTGCACCCCTAGGCACATGCCTAGTTTGCCTTAAAGATAAACAAATTTTTAAAGGTTACACGCACTTTTTTATGCGAACGCAGCTGGATGTGGCAAACCGAAAATCAAGCTATTAACTCGAAAGTCTGGCAAATGAAAAACAGTTCTTTGAAATCTATGTATCATCATCAACCCATAAAACTCAACGGCTGTACATGGGTCCGTTATAGGGAGTATTCGCCTTAATTGTGACGCTTGGCAGGCGTATTGAGATTGCATTTCCCCTCTACACGGCAAAATCTACGTATACAACAAAAGAAACGAATTGTGATATTTACCTCGCATAAGAACTGATGACAATACTATAATGTCATAAGTATGACTTTATTATTCTCATTAGGATTATCACGGTTCGTAATCAATGTGAGTTTTATAAACTCTGATTTTAGATAGGGTACTTCCCGTTGACCTAGAATCATGAAATTTGTCAAGAAGCAAGGCCTCACAGCACAAGTTAAGGGAAAGGTCTCAAAATCGTTAACTTGTAGTTTTATCACAAATAAAACATTTTTTTTGCGATTCCAAACTTACATTTGCCGTTAAATAATTGACCGTGTCGTATAACGATGTATAGGACAAAATTTTTTTTAACTACAAAGGTAAGTTGGTCCTCCAATTTTACTTTTCTTTTCTTTAGAGTAATGGTGCGGTGCCATTGAAATATGTTATTCCCTAGATATTCAGGTCTCAGGATTTATTTCTTCACCATCGAGCAGGTGGTAAGCCCGCTCTTAAAATTACAAAACTTACAGCGAGTGCTTGCTTAGATTACATTAAATGCAAAACTTACTGATATCTAAGCCGGTGTATATCGCATCAGCGAAGAAGTCGGTCAAGTCCTTTACATCCCCAAAGCCAAGGTTAACGCCTTGTCCAGCCAACGGATGGACCCGGTGGGCGGCATCTCTGCAAATATTAAGTGTATTACCATTCCAGCCTATCGAAATATAGATAGTCGGCCCATAGTTTGCCTTATAATTAATATAATTGTCTCGTTTTGCAAGCGGGTTGGCAACCACAGTTTTTATTATTTATTTATTTATTTAACAATATATGTACACACAAACAACAGAAAGGACACAACATGATGAAGAGTTTGTACAAGGGCGCTACTTATCTCGTAATGAGCTTTAAAGGATGGGAATTTTAAGAGGCGCTTTAAGGTGAGATCTACAAATGTATGAAGGGAAATTTGGACTGTGTAAGATGTTAAAAAGAAAACAAAGAGTACGAGTGTTTCTACGCCACTTCTTCTGGGAGCCACTTGAGCTGCTTTCTGTATTTAGAGACGTGATCAAACTTCCGAAAATATACCGAATGCAAAGTGTTTGCAATAGCTCAAGTTTGTTTAATTGCTCCTGTGTAGCATCCAAAAAACAGACATCAGTGTGATCTAAGTTTGGCAACAGAGAGTTTAAACAAGAGAGATTTTAGTTGATAAGGGTAAAAAACTTTGAAGTCGTTTTAACGAGTGAAAAGCATAATTAACTTTTCTGCTTAAGTCCGTTATGTGAGCACCCCATGATGACATATTTACAATAATTAGGCCCAAGTTCTTCGCAGATTCCGAATAAGCAATAGATGTGCCATTGATATTGACATCTGGCAGGGTGCATTTATCAATAATACTACTAGTATATCTGCTACTTACTATTAACGCTTGAGATTTACTTGGATTTATAAAAATCATGGAAAGCCATGGAATCTGGGCCATAGAATAATTCTATCCAAATCGTCATTCAGGGCATCTATCGCCAGTTTAGCCTCAGATGCCTCAAAGTGACGGTAAAGCTGCAAATCGTCTGCATAAAAATGGAAGTTGGAGGATATTATTTTTCATAATAGAATTAATAAAAACGGTGAAGAGTAAAGGAGACGAGACGCCACCTTGGGGTACACCTGCAATGAGATTACACCAGTTGGAATAAATGTCATTGGAGCGGATACATTGTGACCGTCCCCGAATATAGGAATCATAACAGAGAATGACCGAAGATGAAACATTGATAGTCTGAAGAATTTTAAGGAGGATATCAAAGTCAACAGAATTGAAGGCACTGTTAAAATCTAATAAAATGAGTACTGTTAATTGTTTTTGACCTATGGCTCCACGGATATCATCAGTTACTTGAAGAAGAGCCGGAATCCAGATTGAAATGTACTTAAAATAGAAGAAAATTGATTGGGAACAATATGTTCCAGTATAGGTCGAAATTCAGAAGGTTATGTAGGGTTAGCAACCTTGGATGTTGGAATATGGAAAACAGGAGAAAGGTAATGAAAAGTTAAATATGTGAGTAAGAAGTGGCAGAATACATATATGATGTAATCATGGTTATCATTGTGGAAGAATTTTTATCGTTTCCCGATGCAGTAGAAGATATGTATAGCACTGATCGCTTTGCTTCATCTTCTGACAGTGATACAAATTCAAACTGTGAGAAATGTTGCAACGGGCATCTGGATAATTCTAGCAAGGTCTTAGCCTTTATAAATGAAGATAAGGAAACAGGTGGAAGAGAAAAATAACGATTGAGAGTATCTATATCAAGATTTACAATCGCAAGCGCAGGATGTTTGCCAATGCCGACTGTTTTGAGAAAACTCCAGGCTTTTCCTGAATCGCAATTTGAAAGTAAGTCATGAAAGTAGCGCTTTTTAGCATCTCTACACAGACGTCACGCAAAATCTTGAACTTGAATAGATTTATTTCCAGGGGACAATGTTTATGAATTGTTTTTGAGTAAGCAAGTGTTGAAATCTCCCATCACGATCACATGACTATATATAGGACAGAAGTGTATAAGTAGATTTTCAAATACCTTAAAATAATTAATTTGCATATTAGTGCTGTATATAACACCAAGAAGGATTTTTGTATGGTGTAACCTCAAGAAAGAGGTACTCAGCAGATTCAGAATAAGTTGACGGGGAAGCAGTGATTTGTATGTAAGGGATTTCAGAACGCAGGTAAATAGCTACACCACCTCCATCCTTACCGATCCTATCATTACGTATGAAAACGTAACCAAGAAGTGAAAACTGAAAAGAAGAAAGAGAAAACTAGAAAAAGTTTCAGATATAAGAAGTGCGTCGATTATATTACTGCTAATGGATGCAAGAAGGTCAGGATGGTGGGCAGGAACACTTTGTGCGTTGATATGTGCCAACGTTAAAATAATTGGGGTAGGGAGAAAATATGGCAGAAATATGATCATGCAGTCCAAAAGGTTCAGATGACTCGGTATCCGCGCTTAAGAAACTGGTAGGAGATGAATTACACGAGAAAAAACTAGCATACTACATGAAGGTAATATGGGCACTTTAAGCTTTGCCGCCGTATGAAACCAAAACTAGGCAGAGGACAGAGTCAAAAATACAAAGTCGTATACTATAACTAATATATTACGAAAAAAATTGCAAACAAGCTTCGCCAATAATTAGGAACACTTTAAAAAATCAAGTTATAAAAAGTAACTACACTACACAATACTTTAATCGACTAAAATTGTTACTATATTCTCAACTGTCAAAATGGCGTCGATAATAGTTTAAGAGACAGTGAGCGGCAGACTTACGGTATTCCAATAAGCTTCACGTTTTTCTTCAGTTAATCCCCTATATCTGAGGTACTTGAAATGGGAACTCTTTAGTTTGACCGGTGGTTGATATAGAGACGCTCAGGTAAAACAACCGAAAAAAACGTGAAAGTAATAAGTCTGCCGCTTTGATATCTTGAAATATGCAATAAAAATTACCGAAAAATAACATTATCAGACACCCATGGCGATCCCAAGGTCATGGAAGACAGGTTGACAAGTACAATTTTAATTTTAACCTTTATTAATTGATTGACTGATAAAGAGTTATCACAGAGCCACCTATACAAACAAGGCTGTAGTTTTTGAGTTTTAAGAAAGTGACCATATTAACTGGATGACCATATTACCTTCACATACTATATTATCTAACTTATGATAAACAAAAAACGAAATTAAATAAGAATAAAAACAACTCAACTCGGTGCAACTCACTAGCATAACGATTTTTTTTTAATTAATCTGTGAATACACATTATATTAATACTAGAAGAAGAAAACCAAAAATACTAATTTCAATACAAAATTGACAATGTAAAAACGGAACGTTATTTTAAACCTTAGAGTATACAATTAAACAAAATTAAAGTAAAGTAGTAAACATTAGAATGTCATCAAAAACATAACTTGAAAACAAACCAAGTCTCGCAACTCAGTTCTTCTACCGTAAACAGTTGTGAGATCCATTATGTTTTCCTATATTTACGCGAAGATTACACATTAAATGAAACTAATTTTTACGGATTTTATCGCGTTTAATTTAACTCTTTCATTCCCGACATTTCGGGTGCTTTACAGCACCCATAGTCACGGGAGGAGGGGGGGGACTGAGGTGTTTAACGTCCCGATGTTATAGTTAGCGCGGCTACCTTCAGTTTTTGAATATTAATTTTTGGTCCGATCTACGCAGAATGACCTTATAGTATCTTGAAGTCTTGCAGTGGTATGCTTGGGTTTGGATTTAATTTTATTAATTATAGGATCCCAAGCAGACGGCAGCACCAATCCATCTTCTCTATTGAAATTAGGATGCTTTTTAATTTCAATAGCCTAGCGAATCATCCTTGGTAGGAATCGGTATTCTTTTGCGAGGATTTGTGGTGTATAATAATATCAAATCTAATGTAATGGTGGGGACGATCTTGAACATGTTCACACACTGCAGGCATCCCGGAACTTCCCGACGACGTCGGTGCTTCAAGGAGGTTCAAACCGTTGAAACCGAAGTTACATTAGATTTGATAGACCACAAATCCTCTCAAAAGAACACCGATTCCTACCAAGGATGATTCGCGAGGCTATTAAAATTAAAAAAAAAAAACATCCTAAATTCAATAGAGAAGATGGATGGGTGCTGCCATCTGCTTGGGATCCTAGCAAGCTCATATTTTATAATAAAAAGTACTGCACTATCAAGAAATTGATAGTTCTTCAGACTGATATTCGGCCAGTCTGTACGGATATTCCATCTGCGCAGAACAGAATTATAGTGCCAGTGTATGTAAGTACACGTGCACTCTCTATTTCCACTCTCATAGTCCGATGGGACGGCAATCCGATACGAGTGGAGCAAGATCTTTAATAGGACCACGGCTTTACTCGCTTTCCGAAGCACCGTGCTTCCGACGACCAGGCCAACGAGGCAATCCAATAAACTGGAAATACATGAATAAGTAAAAAAGATAGTTGAGTGAGTGCATTTTTTTTTTGCAGTCGTTGATTAATTATTGCCTTGGAATCAGTGAACCATTTTATTCTGAGCATTTACTTACTGCAAAGAAGTTCAAGTATAGTATTTTCTTTCATAAATTCTTTTTTTTTTATTTCGTTCTAGTCTAGGGTGGTACTACCGTACTCAGACGGGGTCTTGGGTAGAAAAAGTGGCTTACCACTCAATTTAAGTTTAAGATAACACGTAATGCTACGGATTTTAGCACGCTTAATTTGAACCAATTTTTATATACAGACGATTTTGGGTGCTTTATAATACACAAGCACCTATAATCATGTATCGAGGTGCATTATATCGTAATGTTTAACAAATTTTCAAATACAGACGCTTATGGGCATGCCTGGCAAGCATGGCAATTGTGGCAAATCCTTCTCGAGCTGAATTTCTCATGTTCAGCAATAGTCTATGTTAATAAGACTCATATGGCCCACTTTCTTACGATAAGGAAGTGTATTCAAATTCGTCACCATTATCTTAAAAACTCTCTCCTTTATAAAGTTATCTTTAGGTACAGAATTTACGCAATGACATCCCTGTGCGTTGCCCTTTTCTTTTCCGAACTTGAATGACACTACGAGACGTAACGGCGTCTTAAAATTTATTGAGTAGCGTATGAGTATTTGGGCATAAGACTGATAGTTTTGTAATTATTAATGCAAGACGATATAGACCATCACGTTACTGTTCACTTTTCCAACGTGATAACCGTATGTTTGTGAGCATGGCACTAGTGATCTAAGCGGTACATTACTGACCCGACAAGCGCGATGCCTGGTGCGATATAGCGCGTGCTGTGACCGAAGGCGAGTGGGAAAGCCGCCCGAGAGGAAGGTGCTACAGCTCGTATGGAGGGCGGCAGCTGGCGCTCGGCGCCGTCGGCCAGCCCCGCGCGCCGCAGGCACGAGCCCACCCACGACGTGCACGTGTCCACTACGCTGCGCCGCGGGTATTGTTTCCACTGAAACGGATCAAAATATTGCACGTTCTTAGCGAAAAGGCCGGGCAGCGATATCGCCGTGTGGTGGCGGCGTAGAATTCACTAAAATATTGGAGTTGTAAGACGGAAATGAACAAAATGTGCATTGCGTTTACCAAGCGTAGCAACTATGGCAATATACCACATATAAGGCAGTCTATGTGGAATTCCTATATTTAGCAGTGGACTTTTATAGACTGTAGACATGTGTCAATCGTGAATGATTCGTTCATTTGACCCGGGACGCATCGAAGTATTGATGATGCAATTACATTTTTTGAGCGTTCCGGAGCAAACCATTAACAGAACCTACGACCAAAGAGTAATGTAATGTCCGACGACCGACATTATCGAGCGGATCGTACAGATCACAGAGTACTGAAAGTCAAAATGATCAATTTGAATGATCGACGCGAATGCTCCGGTTCGTAAGACGAATCATTAGTTGAATGATAGGGTCACTAAAAAATAATGAATGACACATTAGGCGGTATAAAATACTACTAGGTGTTTCGGACAAGCTAATGCAAAAGGCTGTAGGATTAATTTTCTGTATAGGAGTCCGTCCCTTCATACCTGTATAACTTCCCAGTAAGATAGCATTATAGGTCCTATTTTCCATAGTTTAAATCCTGACACATCTCTACGTTTCAAGGTACATAGAATCGGACGTTATAATAGTTCGTAACTAATTTTCTGCCTCGCGTATTTAGGAAAATAAATAATAATATCGAGGTTGGACCGGTTTCATTCGATACATTATTTATATAATTCACCATCATCGACATCATTACCTATCAAAAGTCCATAGCTGAACATAGGCCTTCCCCATAAATTGCACTAACCTTTTGAGCGCCACGCCAAAAAGACATTACCGTGTCCTGTACGCCAAAGCGAAAAGTAAACAAAAATACCTACGAAAAAAATAGTGTTGAAGAGTTGATATATCGATAACACAAAATAACTTGTTTTTGTTGGTTTTTTATGCAATAAATGACTCTTTATAATCTGGTATGTTTTATTTAATCTTGTGCTGTCTTCCTCTCTTTTTGTATATGTACTTTGTACATAAATAAAAAACAAACAATATCAATAAAATAGTAGTAAGCCACAGCACTACTCTCCATCGTGATGACGTTACTGTCACGACTGGACGACAACGGCGTAGCTGACCTTCCTTTTTGAAACTTTCTTAGAGATGTAGCCGTGTCGCACGTTGTGTATCCATTTCGAAATCAATCTAATCAAAATATACAACATCGATTCAAAATATTTTAAGTGTCGGGGGAGGCGTAAGCCAAGTGAAACACAGAAGAAAAGTCTTACGCTCTTATGACAATGGGGGTTTGATATGATCCTGATGCTGTCAGATAATTTTGAGATTGAGAAAGAAAATAGCACAACACAAAATAAAAAATTGCTCTTCATACCTTAAGTAAAAAAAAACACATTTATTATTTGTAATTTTATATTATTAAAATAAAAAAGGTACATAATTATTCACTAATCAACAACTGTATATAATTAATTATTCGCACTAGGTAAATCAGTCAGAAACGTTCATGTTGCACTGCACTACTTTTCCCGCTAATCACTTATGACGTCATCAGGGTGTCGTCTATCCTTGACCATGGCACGCATTGAAGGTGAACTGATTTTCGATGACGCGCTGAGGATGCGCCAGAGTTGAGATATTACATTTATTATGCGAAGATGATTTGATAACATTTTTTTTATTCATGTAGCTAATTATAGTTTTATGTTTCTAACCTTTTGTTTTATTCAAATATCAATAATAATAGAAGAAAAATAACACGTTTGAGTTGAATTTTGGATAGTTTTCAAGAAATCTATGCTCCCGCGTTCGACACTAGCGGTCAACCATAGACGACTTTGGCGTGCTGGACATATTATTTGCTTAGATAAAAATCCATTTTTTTTAGTTTAATGTTTCTTAGTACTTGCAGCTTTAGGAGACTTGTTTTTTATACTCACATGTTGCTGGCTTATTCTTTTTTGAGAAGTGTAGAATTAAAATACCAGTAATAATTTTCCAATATCTATATTTCATATTTTTGTGGGCCGGGTTTTTTGTCAACTACAAAAGTCATTAGTGCTCAGGGCCCGCAGGTGCTGGTCAAGTATAGGCGACTTTGGCGGTCAAAAGGTTAAAGGGAGAATATTTGCCTTAGTTGCAACCGCAGTTTTTTATTATTTTTGAGTTATCAGGAAGATATTGTTGCCCATCTTCTGTTTCAGTTTTCCTATGTCAACTCTTATGACCTCCACGGGAGGACATGGAGAAGTGTACTCTTTTGTGCCGCCACTACATTATGATTTATATTATTAGAAACTTAAGTTTTTCCAAGTCCAGCAGTTATTTGCTATGAATAAATTAAATGGTGAAAATTTAATGGTATTCTCAATTTTCTATAAGACATTTTTCTTCTTGTTTAAAATGGTGAGAAAGACAGGATAATCACAGGCTGTGAGTCATCTCATTTTAGACTTATACTCAACCAAATATAAGAAATGTCTTTTGACTTTTCACATTAATCATTTCGCAATAACTTTGTAGAAGTGTACTCACATGATTTAAAATAAACTTTTACGTAAATACAAAGAATTATGAAGTTATCTATATTGCATTGCAACATGTATAGCTCTTTGTCACTAATTAAATTCGAATCTTTCAAACAAAGTAAAATATAAAAAAAAATAACTAGAATCAACTTTTTTGCTCGACGTGAAAGCGAAGCCCTTGCGAACAGTGGGTAAGCACTTGCTGTTTCCCTTGATGTCTCGAAGACCTTTGACATGGTTTGGCACGTTAGCCTATTAGGCAAGTTTTGAGCGGACGGTTTATGCCCTAGGATACATAATATAGACATAGGACTGGGTGAAGGACTTTCTGAGTGAACGATTTCTCCGAGTCGTCATCGATAGCTGCTCGTCCAGTCCTATCGAGACAAACGCCGGAGTTCCTCAGGGCCCCGTTCTTTCCGTAACTCTCTTCCTGCTGCATATTAATGATCCGCTCATTGCCGGTATCTATGGTATGACGACAGCACAGTTGTGGAGAGGTGCCAGTCGAACGCTCAGACCAGTCGGGATCAAATCCAGTCCTAAAGAGAAGCTATGTTTGAGCGTGTGAATCTCTTACTGCAGGCAGTCTCCGAATGGCCAATCTCATGAGATTCAATGCCTCCAAAACACAAACGTGTCTTTTCACTACTACAAGAAGGTTTGTCTCCCCCTCTCCTTCTCAGATAAAGCACACCAGAAACACAAGGAACACTGCCCTTCGCGGCCTCCACCTCTACATGCACAAAAGATTCCCCTAGCACCAAGTGGTGTAGCCCTGCCAAAGTCGCGGAGGATAGTCGAGTGGCGCATCGCTGTCTGTCTGGGGGAAAATAAGGAGAGAAGAAATAAGAAAAAACATTCGAAATAATAATCTAATACTTTTAGGCGTCGTCCTAATTGGGAGCGATCGTACGATGCGTTTTTCATCTCACGATCAAAGTGGTACTGGTACTACTAGAAAATACTGTGGGTATACACCACATTTTCAAAGTTGTGCGTTTCTCATGTCTAATAAAACAGTCATATGTGAAGTGTTTAGAACAAAGATAATCATTTTGTTTCGGACACCAATTCACAATTTTTATGCTTTTTAGCCGTAATCTTAGTCTAGGTTCAGTTGGAAACTTGTTAATTAATAAACATTTGATAATTAACTGTTGTCGGTGACTTTGGTTTTTAATGGATATGGGTAGAAAAGAACATCGATAAGTACACCTTCGTACAAAAGTACACTTTACTTCCACACACAGACAAGGAACCCGACAACCCTATTGAATTTTATTGTTTATCAAAACTCAGTAATATAAAACCAAACATGTTAGTGGACATTAAGATTAGTAAAAAAAAATTAAAGTTCAAAATAGAGAGATACGATTTAAATAACACAAAATACTTTTTTTTTATAGGATCGGGTGACAAATGAGCACACAGTCCACCTGATGGTAAGTGGCTACTGTGACCCATAGACATCTATATCTATCCTCAATAAAGACTCAAGATGTAGATGCGTTGTCACCCGTGAGGACTAAGATGGAATGCCTTTTTGCCAGTAAAAAGGGTCTCCGGTTCTCTACACTCACCACACGAAACACAGCAGCGTTAAGCTGCTATTTCACGCTGGTTTTCTATGAGAGCGTGGTCCTTCCCCGGTCGAGCCGACGCATTCGTGCTACAACCATAATATAGCTGCACCATGGCTCTACCACGTAGAATACTTATTCACACATATACATATACACAAAGAGCATATTATGTCAATTGTAGTTCCCGGTAGCGGCAACGAGGGCGCTTCAAATTGGCAGAAGCATTTCGTATGTTATAGCCAGTCCAGCGTACTTGTATAGAGGTCAGTGGCTCCCGATAACAATTCACAAGCGCAAGCAATTATGGAGAGGCATGACGTAGTCTTGCAAAGAATAACATTTTTACAATAAATTAATAATATAACCAATTGTGTTCATCGATAAAACATGACTGAACGCCAACCACACTGTTCCGAGAAATACATTGACAGATGACACTGAAACATCTTGCTCAAAGGAAAAGGTGGGCGGTAAATAATTTGCCATGGAGATTATTTGGAGATGGGAGGGATGGGAGGATTTATAGAACATTGTTGCAATAAAAGAAGTGGAAGAATATGAAAGGTTCTAACTGCTAGTACATTAACTCTACTTAAACAAGCACGAGATAAAAATATACCTAACACCTTTGCGCCTTTCAAGGTGAAGATGATGGAGGGTTTGCTCAAGGAAGCATGTGCTCATGTCACAAAGGATGACTGGTCAAAATGGTGATAAACAAAAAAAAATGTTATTGACGACTAGAAAGGAGACATTAATTTTATCTGAATTATTGAATATCAAATGACAATTAAAACTAAATGTAATGAAAGTGATTAAATAAATTTAGTTTTGTTTTGTTTGATTTTTGTAAATAACTTTGTCTCTAGAAATTAACAGTAAGCGATAAATAAAATACGAAGAAACTCATAAATTGTGTGTTTTTAATTATCGGTTTCAATTTTATTCTAGCTTACGTGGTAGAGCCAAGCTGCAGCTATATTATGGTTGTAGGACGAATGGGTCAGCTTGACCGGGGAAGGACCACGCTCTCACAGAATACCAGCGTAAAATAGCAGCTTAATGCTGCTGTGTTTCGTATGGTGAGTGTTGAGAACCGAATACCCTTTTTACTGGATACGAGGCATTCCATCTTAGTCCTCAGGGGTGGCAACGCATTTGCATTTTGATTCTTAATCGAAGATAGATGTAGATGTCTATGGACCACAGCATCCACTTACCATCAGGTGGACTGTGTGCTCGTTTGTCACTCTTATATTCTATACAAAAACTAAATAATCGATATCGATTTCTCTTATGAATCGAATTATGTAAGTACCGATTTTTTGGTTGACATGCCTAATCCCAAAAGTTTTACAGCTGTCAAAAGGTATTTTTTAGAGTTGGTGGAGTATAAATAATAATTTATTTGTTAACTATACATAATTACCAAAGCGTCATTAAGTGCGTCGACGAATTGTTCCTCTGGCAATTTGAGTAGTTCTTTAGCGTGAGAGTGTGTCGTCGACCAGACTAAGGAACTTCTCGTCGAGTCAAGTGGCAACAGGGCAACGGGACCTGTTGGCAGGAAGCGCTGCCACGCTGTTGTGTTCTCCGTCGCCTGAAATTTACATTTAAATAATACCACACTTTAGTATACCCATATATACTCTTTATATATAAAAATTACATGTCACGTTGTTTGTCCGCGATGAACTCCTAAACTACTGAACTGATTTCAATGAAATTTTGCACACTCTGTGCAGTTTGGTCCAACTTGAGAGAAAGGATAGTTTTTATCCTGATAAGTGACACTCAAGTTTTTTTTATTACGAATTTAAGCATTTTTATGAAGGGTCATCGAAAAGGGTAGAAAAACGTCTGCCTGGTCAGCTCGTAGTTTATATAACACATTTATAGCTTACTAGTTCCAGCCATTTAAGAGGTAATTGCGATTGAATCCTAAAAATATTTTTTTAGCCTCGTAGTCTCATAATTAATTTTTTTAGTCTGGTTAGGTATTAAAAGTAACGTAGTATAATTATTAAAAGATCTTTTGAGTTAATTTTTAAATAATTACAATTTAGGTCTTGAAACTCCTTTTCTGTCCAGCTATCCGTCTGGGTGGGCAGCAACAGCACAAATGTGTATGAGTACGTACCACTCGTACTTTGTTAAGTATTTCTGCAGCCAAGCAGCAGTGCTACACAGCTGCGACCAGGTCTGAAGGGTATAGGAACCCAGTATAGTTACAGGCTTTGAGGCAGTCCATACTAGGCCTCAGAGGTGACAATGGATCTGACTGGTTAACAGTAAAAGAGGCTTTCAGGTTCGCGTCTCTCATCGAAACACATCAGCAATATGGTGTTATTTTAGGCTGGTATTCAATGCGAGCGTGATATTTCCCCGGTCAAGTTGACTCATTTCTGCTGCAGCCGTGAATATGCTGTAGCGTGTCTCTACTCTAACACGTAAAACAACTTATTTTAACCAGAATCTTTTCAAGTTGAAGTGAGATATATGTATAGGCTGTAGCCTATACATATATCTCACTGCCGGGCACAGGCCTCCTATCATTTCTGAGCGGGCTTTAGGGCAAGGAAGTGTCCACCGCGCTGCCCCGATACGTGTTGGCGAACTTCACATGTCTTCAGAATAAATTTTTTTCTTATCTGTGAAACATGCAGGTTTCCTCGAGGTGTTTTTCTTCACCGCCGAACATGTGGTAAAACAGCACTTAAAATTGCAATTACTTAACAATTTCATTGGTGCCAGCGGGGATCGAACCCGGGTCGCTCGAATACTGTGCAATTTATAGCGAGCGCTTAGAATAGTATAGAATAATTTTTTATTCAATATATACCACATGTATGTTCGGTGTTGTAATTCTAATTGAAAGTCATTTTTTACTATACCACTGCACTGGTTCGGAAAAAAACTTCTGTCCTGGAAAGAACCAGAAAGTAACCCAGCGGCACTTCTTTTTTTTAAATGTATTTTCTTGAAAATGTGGAACCATGTGATTTTTACGTTTTATATTTATTTTCCTTTAGTTACATTTAAAAAAAAACACTCATATTTTTGGCCTGTAAATCATTTTACATCCGATTATAATATTAGTTCGGTTGTAGTCTAATCGATTTTTTTTAATTACCTGGCCCAACTGTCAATAGTAACATTTATACAGAGGAAAAAAAACATTCGCTTTGGCTCCGTGTATTATGAATGTTTTTTCGGTTACTTTTGGGAAGTATTTTGTTTTTGTTGTAATGGACTCCCGATATCGCTCTAATTGAAGGACCGGCTTGACCGACCCTTGGACACTGAATCTGCTCATGACGATGACCCTGGCGCTATTTTGTTAAACGTTGAACCGGCTTTAAATGACAACCTTGGCATGAACATTGATGCTCCGTACGATCTTATTGCCCCTAGTTGAAATGAGGAACCAATGCGATGCGTCAAATGCCGCATTGATATTATGTATCACAGGAAACACTCTGGAACCCGTTGAAATTCTATCAATAAATCGTCAATGAACTGCTCCATAAGTGGTAAGCTAATGTTCTATTTAATATTTTTTAAATAATCTTTTCTATCATCCATACAAACTGAATAAAAATAAATATTCATGTTTTATTTGCAGGCTACAGCTTAGTTTGTCATTCTTGCTGAATGTTGGCTCTCAACAACTCAGCAGTTCAAGAAAGTGAACAAAGCACAAGCAGTGGTCATCAACGACAATTATGTGTAAATTGTGGATGTTCAATACTACGTAGTAGATATAATGTTCTGAATACAAATTCTGAAAGAGAAGAATTTAAGTTTAAGTTTAATTTAAAAATTTAAGTTTTTGAGAAACGCACATAAGAAATGTATTTAGCGAGTAGATATCACCACGATAGGTACAATCAGATATTTTTATGTATTTGATGCTTGCGTTTATAATATTTGAGATAGAAAATACAATAAAGAAATGTACACTTTAGAAACATTAATTTGTTAAATGAAAAGTTGCTTCGGCCTTTTGTTAAAAGAGTGTAATATGCTCTTTGTGTGTCACATATCTTCAACAAGTGAATAATATATTATTATGGTTTATTCCTCGAAATGTAATACCATTATGCATGAACAATAACAAAAGATGTCAGTTTGTGTTTCAACACCATTAACAAAGAATTAAATTGTTTTAGGTTCATGGATCCGATCGCATCTGCCATCCATGTTGGCAACGAGCTGATAGAGCACCAGTTCCTGCTTTAATATCTGTAAATGTACCAGCATCGACAGAAACTATAACTTTAGCGGATTATACTCGAGCACTTGATACTCAATCTCATTGTTTTTGCCCAGATTGTGACTCACCACAGCGACTGAGTTTTCCAACATGGCCAAGGGTGAAGTTGTTTACTGATTTTAATTTTTATGTGCCAAAAAACAGCAGAATATGTGGGTTTCATTTAAGTGATAATAACTGTGCTGAACTTTTATCAAACATTTCTCATCCTAACCATACATTTACTGCAGAATATATTCAGGATTTTGCCACTTTTATTAAAGAAAGAAACCAAACATTTGATTTTAATAATATAGAGGGAATGTCGGAAGATATAGTCTATTTCTGGATCAGACTGGACAAAGCACAATTCATTCGATTAAAAGCAGACTTTCCAAGGTTATCAGGGGTGCATAATGGCACATTGAGTCTAATTGCATATTTAATTAAACTAAGGACTGGGGATAGCGATGAAAGAATTTCATCATTGTTGAATGTGCCACGCACAACATTATGTAGACCGATGGGCAAGGCTCGCGATATGTTAAATGAGGACTTTATTACTCATAATTTAGGAATAAATCATATTGCAAGGGCAGAAATATCACAAAGAAACCTTATCATCCCCAATGGTTTGTTTGGTTGAGAAGACAGAAAACCAATTGTTATGATATTTATATGTTCAAAAGAGTTCAAACTATCGGTATCAAAAAAACTACATACTCGATGCACAAGTACAGGAACCTAATGAAGCCATTTCTAATGGTATGCTCTGATGGATACATTATTGATGTATTATTATGTTAAATAAATTTAGAACTGAGGCAAATACTTTGAAGCAATATTTTCATGCAGATGTTTTTATTATGGATAGGGGTTTTAGAGACTGTGTACTATTATGAGAAGAGTGTAATTATTCTGTACATATGCCTGCATCTTTACAAGCAGGTGAAACTCATCTAGCAACGTCGGCAGCGAATAAATCCAGAATTGTTACAATATGTAGGTGGGTTGTAGAAGCGGTTAATGGGATTTATAAACTCTTTTAAAATATTCCGTCATGAATTTTTTAACATAGCGTCCAAGCATGCCATAATAAGATTTTAAGGCGACTGCTGCCTTGATAAATAAGTTTCATCATAGAGTCAGGAATAGAGAAGATGCAAGTCAAATCCTTGAAATAGTACCTAGTCAGGTCATAAGTATTGTCACACAGTAAAAACTTTTCTTTTAGAATGCTGGCCACAAAAAAGTTTATTGAATTCGAATTTCAAATTTTTCATGAAAATAAAACTGTATACTTTTTAGAATTTTACTCATTTTTAAATATGGAGTGGACGCTTAAAGAAGACCGTGTTGCAGTTATTGCGTTGCATCGTTGCGGTTACGCGCCAATTCAAATTTTTGACATACTGAAAAATTTTAATATAACCAAAAGATTCGTTTATCATACCATCAAACGATACAATGAAGACTCTAGTGTAGATGACAGGTCAAGAAGTGGTCGCCCTCGGTCTGTTAGGACTCCAGCAGTGATAAAAGCTGTGAAGGCGCGAATTCAAAGAAATCCCAAACGTAAGCATAAACTGTTGGCCCTTCAGATGGGGTTAAGCAGAACCACGGTGAAAAGGGTGTTAAATGAAGACTTAGTGCTTCGGGCATATCGAAGAAAAACAGGACATCGTTTGAATGCTCGTCTAATGGACCTGAGACTGAAGAGATGCCGCGCTTTGTTGAAGCGGTACGCGGGAAAAAAATATCGGGAAATTCTTTTTTCGGATGAAAAAATTTTTACCGTAGAAGAGAGCTACAACAAACAAAATGATAAGGTGTACGCACACAGTAGTGAAGAAGCGAGCAACCGTATTCCGCGTGTCCAACGAGATCATTTTCCATCCTCGCTCATGGTATGGTTGGGAGTTTCTTATTAGGGCTTAACAGAGGTACATTTTTGTGAGAAAGGTGTAAAAACGAATGCAGTTGTGTATCAAAATACAGTCCTGACGAACCTTGTGGAACCTGTTTCTCATACCATGTTCAATAACAGGCACTGGGTATTCCAACAAGATTCGGCGCCAGCTCATAGAGCGAAGAGCACACAAGACTGGCTGGCGGCGCGTGAAATCGACTTCATCCGGCACGAAGACTAGCCCTCCTCCAGTCCAGATTTGATTCCGTTAGATTACAAGATATGGCAACACTTGGAGGAAAAGGCGTGCTCAAAGCCTCATCCCAATTTAGAGTCACTCAAGACATCCTTGATTAAGGCAGCCGCCGATACTGACGACTGGCCGCGCAGATTGAAGGCCTGTATTCAAAATCACGGAGGTCATTTTGAATAAACTTTAGTGTCATAAGAATCTATGTTTTGTTAAGTTCATTTTGGTATATAAATGGTTACATAATGAATAAACTTGTTTCAATTATTTTATATTAAACATGTAACAGAATTTATGACCTGACTAGGTATACAAAAGACTGTACATAAATAATACACTTGCTGATTTTGTAATCCAAAATAATTTAAATAGAAGACGATCACAGATTTCAAATATAAATGTAAACATAAGTAATATATCATTCCCAAGACTGACATACAGTGAGCTTATCTTATTCAGCTGTGGAACATATCAGTTAAAGCAAGCAAGATCATATTATGGGGAGCATATCAGGAATGACTGTTCCTATACTATTGAAGTGTGTACGGAGAGCCAGCAACCTCCTTGAAGGTTTACCCTTCACTGGCAATTGCACTCTATTAAGAGGAAAAATTCAAAGCAGGCACTTAAGCCGAAAAACATATTTTGTATATGTTATAATTAATAATAATCTGTAAGGCAGGGAAGCAATAACTCAATATTGTTGCAATTGCTTTGTAGGGTGAAGAACGGTGGGTTGATGTGCTCACGTAATGACCATAATATGGTACTTAAGCTGGGCAAGGTACGAAAATAATATTAGGCCGCCTGCCCAGTTTTTAGATAATATTTTATTAATTTATGATTCGGAACAAAAATCATTAAAACATAAAATATTTGTTTAATTTTTCCATTTAAATGACCTCAGGATATGTTACTACTGCATTAAAAGAAAGAGAATATCATTATAATAAAGGCAAATCATTTATTTTGAAAAAGAGATACTCATAATTGTAACTTTTTTCAGCGACTAGTTTTAGCATTACACATGCTAAATATGAACTATTTTTACACTCTCCTGCAACCTTATTACTATAATTCGTTTCTTTGAGGTATAAACTATTAAAAACCCCAGTCATCAAATATTATAGTTAATGTTCATGTTGAGCCAAATTACCCTAACAAACTGAGCAATTTCTTTTACATGAAAGGTTATACATACTATTTACAAAATTTATTTTAGAAACAGCTTGGAAGGGACCACATCATTCCCAGGCATTATTATCAACCATATATGCTTAGCCCCTCAGTTACTAAAACTCTATACTGTTTGTAATGTCAAAATTACGGCTTTTTACTAAATGCATATGAAAGTATATACGATACTTATAATAAAAACACAATTTTAAAATTTTTGTCTGTCTGTCGGTCTGTCTGTCTGGCTGTTTGTTCCGGCTAATCTCTGAAACGGCTGGACCGATTTTGACGGGACTTTCACTGGCAGATAGCTGATGTCATAAGGAGTAACTTAGGCTACTTTTATTTTAGAAAAAGTATTAGGGTTCCGCGCAAAAAAAACTAAAACCCCAAATAACACGCGGGCGAAGTCGCGAGGATCAGCTAGTATGTAATAAAATAATTACAAATATCATTATGTTTACAAAGCTGCAGTTTGGATATGCTTTAAGCGGAGTGGAAATCATCTTACTACAACATAAAATAATTCATTCCAGTTTCACACATTCCACTGTATACCTGCCCTCAAAATCGCGGTAAATAAATCTTCTTATATTTAGATTTATTGAGGATATATTTTAGTACGTTTAAGATACACAAACGAGAAGTGAAATTACATCCAGTACGTAAACAAAGACCAGGCAAGTTTACCTCAGACAAGTGCAACGTAGCGACAACACCCATCTGGTCGTAGTTCCACGACAGATATTGCACGCCCATTGCTTTGCGAACGGCCGAGTTTGCGCCGTCAGCGCCGATCTGAAATAACAAATATTTTTTTTTCTAAAGAAGATAATATTACGTAATCTACTTTATGTTTTGTGATAAAGTTTTTGAGAGCACCGTCGATATTTTAGTTATTAACTGGAAAACATGTTGTGTACCAGGAAAGAAGTAAAACATTTTTTTTAAATAAAAGAAACTCATGTTACTACCCAGTGGAAGGTCTCTTAACTATTTTTGTCACCAAAACTTAAATACTGACGCCTCTGTGGCGAAGTGGCTTAGAATGAGTTGCAGCGATAAGGCCCGCGGGTTCGAATCTCGCACGGAACAAGTATTTCTATGGCTTAGAAATAATTGTTCTACAAATACTTGTCGCGGGCCTGGATGTTTGTTCTTGTAAAATTTATGTATATAAATTATGTTACGATTTTTTCCACGATACTGGAAAAAATCGTAACGTGGAGATAACGTTTTAGGTCCGCTACATACATACGGAATTCCGTTTCAAAATTCCGAATGCAGCAAATCCATATAAAATCTATGACTCGTCACACACGTGCGGTAGTTTTCCGTTCGAACTTTTGCGGGCAAAACGGGATTCTGTATGTGTGAGGCCGACCCGTTTGGAATTCCATATCTATGTGGCGGGCCATAAAAAATATATATTATCGGGTATTATACCATTTGTTAGTAGACCCTAAGAGGTTAAAAGTCCAGCGCGTGAGTGTTGAGTTATTGATACTGACAATATCATAAGATATTATAATGCATGTATCGTAAGTTTCCTAGAAACAGCCGAAGATATTTACTTTCAGAACGTATATTATTTGGCCTTGTCGCCTCAGAATGTTTATCTGAATATGAAGGTATAAGCAGAGGAGCGGTAGCAGCTGTAAATCATATCCTTGTTAAAAATAAAACCGAACAAGTGCGACTAGGACTGGCGCTCTAGGGGTTCCGTATAAGCTTAATTATTTGCGGAAATAATTCATCCATCCCGGATATCGAATCCCGACAATTTTTGCATGGTTTCGATACCGTGGTATTCAGGGTATTCATATATACCCTTAATTAACGAAGATAATATTACTTTTTAAACAATAGGTACGTGTAAATGGAAAGTACGTAATTAAGTACCATCACTTTTACCAAAATGGTTGACTTAATCAATCAATATATTCTTTATTGTACACCTATACACATTAGAAAGAGACAAAATGAAATAAATATATAGAAAGTACAATAGGCGGTCTTATCGCTCTGGAAGCTCTTTCTTCCAGACAACCCTTGTTTAGCAAAAACGTGTTGTTTACAGCGAAATGCAAATAGGGAAGGTGTACATAAATTTGACAGTTAAGTTACTTAACTTACGTAAATTAACTTAACTTAAAATTTACTATAATTCATTCATTCATTCATTATTCATGTAACTTAAAAAGTAGGTAAGGTCGGTAGGTAGGCTTTTTAGACAAGATTTTTTTTAACCCTGTAAGGGAAAAGTGCTCAATTTGGTAAAAAAAAACGGGATTTTAAATTTTTCCTGAGGACAAATGTCTTTGACCTTTTTATTTTTGTGTTTTTTTGCTAGTTATATTTTAAAGAAGATCGTGTACTTTTTAACATATCTTTGTTTGATTTTTATAAATTGATATTTGTTAAGTTAGTTAAAGTTAAAGTTCTATGCAGTTATTATCATAAATGGTTACTAAATCGCACTGTATCAAATCCGGCGATTTCATTCTTGGAAAACCATACCATGATTTTCTTCTACCTTTCAATCGCATCTATATTTTTGTTACAATATCCAGTTTTTTTAAAAATTATTATTATTAAAATTCTTCGTAAAACGAATCCGGGTTAATTTGATCGATCCTTAAAAGTTCTCCAGCTTCTTAAAAATCGTCGTAATTTATTGGCGATTTCAAGTTTAAAATTAGCATCTTGGAAAGGATGTTGTTGTCTGAGAAATTATATCGTGGTATAATTTTTTTTAAATATGGTTATATTTTAATGACTCTTCCCACGGCTGAACCAACAGATAAGGAAGGTATCACGTAGCAACATGTTTTACAATTTTTCAAGTGTATCCCACTTGCTCCAAATTAGAATTGCAAGTTTGCTCTTTGTTTCGCAGATATCCTAAATCAAATAAGGCTGAAATACGGGACAGTCTGTCTGGCGGGACATTTAAAATTATGCCTGAAATTGAAATTGCCTTAACCAAAAGATAAGTCAGATTAAAGGACAAACCTAACTTTAATGCGAAAAGAAGTCATCATTGCGATGGACTTATAGGCTATTTACAACTAGTGACTAAAATTCGATTCAATGTTGCAAACGATTTCCTAGATAGTTTTAGAAGAACCATGAATCACACGCCTATTAACAATAAGGTTCGAAACAGACTCAGACCATTAAAGTACCTACTTCTTTATTGGTCTGTGAAGACAGATATTTAAATAAAATGTAGGGAAGCAACAAAGATAGAAATAATACAAATTAGTCGAAAGTGGGTGTCCATTATTACAACGATTCTAAGTAATGGCTGTTAGCCCTGAGTTGAACTATTATTAGAATTTAAGAGAAACAAAGCGTACATCAGTGTGGAGAAGGGACAGGTAACTATAAATTTAGTTACCTGTCCCTTTTAGTTACCAATTTATATATTGTGTTAATTTTGTAGGGTACTTAATATTATGGATGCTAAAAATAAAATATGTTTCATTAACAAAGATATAACGGAAGGTTATGTTATGTCATTATAAATAGATTTATAATTTAGCTGTTCCACATACAAAAATTCGTGACATGGTACACGGCATATTACAGAAGCAAGGTTATCAAATAAACACTCAGTGCACCTGATGATAAGTAGATGCTATGGCTCAGAGATTGCCTATAAACAGATTGAACAGCTACAAGGAAGCTATACGAGCCTGAATATCTTGGGGTCCATTTTGAATGTTAAACCAGTCTGTGGCCCGCTGATCCTGACACTGATCCTGTTGATCTTGTATTATGATATTGTATTATATTGATCTAGTCAGAGATTTAAATATTTAGGTATACTATAGAGCGGACATTGGGAACATTTATATACAAAAACTTTAAACTAGTGCTCGTGTGGCACCCTCTAGCTAAAAATAGCAAAACAACGCTAAGCATTCATTATGAGAACATTTTAGCTATTCCCCAGTAGATGACGCTCATAAATATAACCTCGTTTTAGGAATGTTACCGTTTCGATATCAAAGTATCGATAATATTGTTGAAGATTACTAAGTTTGAAAAGCTTTTCGATATAATAATAGGGAATATACATGATTGTTTTATTGTATAAATCTATTTATCATGACTTCCATCACACGAAAAAAATCATATTTACTTTTTACGCCCCTTTAGTGTCATGAAATAAAATATTTAATTTCCAATAACTAAGAATCAATTCAAACAGCAGTCACTTTGGTTGCCACCTTGGTGGCATGACGACACTCAGTCCATTAGCTGCTATAATAATAGCATATGAGAGATCGGTCGGCGTTAAAGATACATCGAGAAATATCAAATCCAATAAGAGAGCGCCTCTATTTTCTTAAATTCGTTTCTATTATAAAAATACATTTCAAATCTAAAATATTTCAGGAAAACACTAAAATTAAAAGCCGCTTTACGATTTTTCACGTTTCATCAGCTGCAGTACTTAAAGACACTACCCACATCAATAAAAATTGTTATTTTAAGTTTTTACCTTATTTTCTAACTCAGGCTTCACCTACAACTTCTTGCATCTAATATCTTTAACAGTACAAATTGTTTTTAATGTAAGAAATCTATTGCCCTCTCCTGTAACTGTAAGCGAGGATCTATAATGGCTTTGTCCTTGAAAACCACCAGACAATGAAGCCCGCTGTAAAACCACCAGACAATGAAGTCTGGTATGTAAAAGAGAAGACTTGCTGTATTGCTAAACATCAACACAGCATGTATCCTCAGCATGCTCATAAGCAACACAGAAAATCTCATCAGCATGCCTAAAAAAATTTCCGACCCTTGCTCCACATAAAGTAGGGTACTTAGTGTAGTTGGTATATGCTACTCATTTTTGTTGGTATGGGTACAGTATCGTTGACTGTTTTGTTTCTTTAAATATTGTAAAGGATTAAATCGGCATCCTATATATTTTTTTATCGATAATCCCAATCGATAAACGTCGTCAATCACTAACTTTAAAATTGGTAACTAACTAGTGACGTTTACTGGATAACATAAAGCGCTTATTACAATAAAAATAAATGTTCTAGAACAATCTACTAGAAATAATAAAATTTAAAGATTATTCGGTAAATATATGTTATATTTACGATAATAAACCGAAATCACGTTCATTTTTTGCTCCATATCGTGACTTACAATATCTTAATGCACAACCGGGCATAATTTCTTTAAAAATGTTTTTTAAATATATGAAACGAATACGTCTTGACTTTTTGACGATGTCACTAAGACTAAATGACATAAATCGGAGATATATCCTATAGGACATAAGTTACAGACGACAATTTTGCTACTGATGTCTGATCTAGGACACTGCTTTTCTTTCGACGTACGATGTATACAATGTACTTGGTGGTCGGGCTTTTTTCATGCTTTGTAGTCTGTCTTGATAGGCATTTGCCTATTTCTGCCACCAAACCCTATCCTTTTTACCAGACTGCGCGACGAAAAGGAGGGTAATTTGTTTACCAGCCTATGTATGTATGTATATGTTTGTTCCTTTGGGATGCTCTGCAGACCAAACACGTGTGCCAATTTTGATGATTCTTACGTCATTCGATTTGTCTTAATCTTGTGTCACTAACCACATGACAGTAATCAAAACGGAAAAAATGAAAATGGACGAACTATGTTAAATGGGGTTACATTGAATAGATCTTTGAAAATCATCTTTCATTAGGTTTCTCTAATCATTTATCGATTTGAATGACCATTCGAGATCTATAACGATTTAAAATTGGTTAGCAACCATTATCACT